TCCAGGAGATCTTCCGTCAAGATCAATGGCTGCACCTCACCACAGTTCGCTTTACCGTCCTGTGCCTTATAACCCTTCCCCATTTCTATCTGTAGCAGAGTGGGGAGGAATGAGTTGGAATGGGAGGCTCCAGATTGCAACAGGCAAAATGAGCCCCCTTTCAGGACCATTTCGAGTCAGACGGCGGCCGGGGGAAAGGCTGTCTGAAGCCCCTTTGCAGATTGCGCACATGTGCATAACACACATCTGAGTGCTACACGGGGACCCCAGACTCAACCTGTGTGTTGCTCATTCCAAGCTGCACATTCTGATTACAATGGGGCCAAACTTCAAAAGTTTTCTGGTTCAGTTTGAGTATCCCCATTTTGATTTGTTCCTCCCTTCTGAGGCATGATCACGGCACTCTTGATGTTCACGGCAGTTTCTCCCCCCACCCCCGTGCTGATTCCACCCCCCTCCCATGAAAATTAGCAAACATTGGAAGTGGTTTTTGTGTTGACTGTATACCAACTGCACAGAATGGCAAAGCAAAAAATCATAACAATGAAAAAGAAGCGATCCACCAGAGGAGACTATAACAACAGATGAAATCGAGCAGGAAGTAAAATTGCTACAGTTGGCTCACCCGTGAGTCCAGGACTGTGGGGCAAGTGACAACAAAGGCTAAACTCAGGAGCCACAAGTGGTTTCTGTCCCCAAGGGAATCACAGAAGGCCAGGGGCCATTTCCTAAATCCAGTGTGCCCTTCCAGAGACCAGTAACAGACACAACTCACATTTTGCTATCACTAGAACGTCCATAATGAGTTCAGCAGTGCTTACAATTTTCAGTCAAAACAAAGCCATTCTAGAGGGATCCCAGTCCACATGCTTCTCTTGCAACCCTCCAAATCACAACGTACTCCTCTACCCACCCGTAACACTCCTCAACTCCTTTAACTATGATGAGAAATCAGATGTAGAGAATCTCACCGAGCCTTCTTTGTTACCAAACATGCACTCATTTTGTTTTTGTGCACACTCTTAAAAGCGGGGGCACAGACATACAGGAACACACACGGCTGTCTTAAATAGGGTCAGACCCTTATTCTATTAAAGTTGGTGTTGTCTGTTCTGACTGGTGGTAGCTCTCTGAGGTCTCAAACAGAGGTCTTTCTCATTCGATCCTTTCGCCTAGAGATGCCAGGGATGGGATCTAGGACCTTCTGTATATCAAACAGATGCTCTACCACTGAGATGCGACCCCTCTCCTTAAATGGGAGCCTGGGTCTCAGGAGTTCCATTTCTCCCAACCTGTTAGGGCTGTTTATTTCTAACGATGTTACACTTTAGCTCCCTCTCACTCCACCTGGGGGAGTTGCCCTGAGTTTAGTTCTGCACAGACAAGGGGAATCTTCATATCACACAATGGGCAGTTCTCGCTTGCAAGGAAGCTGGGGAGATGTGGTAAGGAACAGAGAACATGAACAGTGGCATTTGGGTGGAGAAACCAGACTGGGCAAGCATAACCCTTTTCCCACCCCAATTCATGTTCTCTGCTCCTTTGGTGGAAATGTTGGATTCCAGAAAAGAAGACATTCATACACTTCCAGTTTTATATGATCATCTACCCCCATCATACTACTTTTGGGCTTTAAAAATGATAGGAAAAGTCCAAGTGATTCATGACTGAAGAGTACTCAGTCAGCTCGTGGCAAGGATATCCCAAGTCTGTGCAAATTGCATTTGCTCACATTCATTCTTCGTCATCTTATCATTCTGCTCTTCTTATCTCTCAGAGCATCAAAATTTAGATCATGAGGCCCTCGGGGTAGGGGCCTACTTTCTATTACTCTCTAAAGTGCCCTATATGTTGATGGTACTGTAATAATAAAAAAGACGATTAAAAAAAAAATGACTACCTTCACTCTGGCTGACTCTGGAATCCTTCACACCTCCCAGGCTAGTTCACTGTGAAAGACCTATTCATGCTTCCTGGTCTGATGATACAATCTGAAGCAGTTATGCACTTCTAAGTCTACCGAAGCCAATGGATTTAGAAGGGTGTAACTTTGCTTTGGACTGCACACTGAGTATACAGGCAGCACACAACCCATATAAGCCACGAGTGAACAAAGGCCACAGTGGTTTCTTTCTTTGATCCCCAGGTCTCCAGCCAGTTTTGCACCGATCCCTTGTCACTAAAACCACAGAATTCATCACTCATGGTGGCATCACTGGAGGCAGAGGGGTCATCCAAATCTTCTCTGCTTGATCCAACAGACAAGAAACAACAGGCAAATACATCTTCAAAGAAACTGCAGAACACTGGCTATGTGAGAGAAAGCCAAAGGAGTCATCAGACACATTATTAAGGGTATATGCCTATTATAAACTGATTATTGTTATACCTTTTTAAAAAACAAACAAACCCTTTCCCCCCCTTCTCTTAAAGAATCCTGGGGAATGTAGTTTGGAGGTGGTGGGCTAAGGGATTGATTGTTCAGCCACTGAAATCTGTGATGCGGGTGCACCCTCTCTCCCCTCCCCGCCAGTTCCTGCAGCCCTTTCAGCCAGTGCCACACACATCACAGCATCCTTTCCTCTGCACAGATCGATCCCTTTTGCAGAGCCTTCTCATCTCAATGTGGAAACAAGCAAAATTATCATGGGATATTGTGGGAAAATCAGGTGGAAGAATCAGCCACAGCTGAACCTCCGAAGAGGCAGGGATATTGTGTTGGCTACCACACAATTTTATGAGGTGTTTTTGAGGGTGTCACAGCCCCCTGCTTTCAGCTGCATTGTGCACAAAAGGAAAAAAAACAACAACACAATGGCTTCACAGTCACCCTGGGACCCACTGTCCGCTTGATGCCCTCCCGTCAACAAGAGCTGCCCTACAGCACGCCCTGCCCTAGTGCAGAAAAAAGTGTGTGTGTGGGGGGGGGGACCAGAGATGGCTGATTCCCACAAGCTGGAAACTGGCCAGAATTCAGCCCTGTTTCCTCAAGATTCTGATCCCCTCCATCCAAGGGCAGGAAGGCAAAACCCTTCTGTCTCCCAGTGAAGACTCTGATCTCATTGAGATGCAAGGCTTGCTGTGGGAGCTATTTGCCAAACCCTCCTCCTCCTCCTCCTCCTCCTCCTCCTCCAGAAAGTACCTTCTTTCCCCTCCCTCCCCGTGGAGTTCTGTTTCAGCCTCCAACTGTTCCAAAGCAGATGCATCAATCCGTTCAGGGCCCCTGCTGATGTGAGAGGAATGGCAACTAGGTGGGGAAGAAGGAAGGGGCGGGTGCTGACGTGTTCAGAGATGCCTCTCGTGGCCCTCTGCCGACCCCACTGGGCCCAAATGTATGAGATCATAAGTGGAGGCAGAAAGGGGGAGAAAAGCAGGGGGAGATGAAGAGAGATACGTTGCAAGGGCCCCGCCCTTCAGGCAGGTCAGTTGATGTGTCAGGCAGATCTGAAACTGAAGCAAAGGGGAAAAAAATAAAAGCCTTCTCCTTGCGGGAATGGCAGAGGCAGAGCGATCCAGGGCACAGTGGATGCAGACACGGATCTGGGTTCAACTTTGTGCTTCACCGTTAACTCACTGTGCAGCTCCTGGCCAAGTCAGCCTCACTCTTTCTCTCTCAGACTCCAGGATCTCCAGCACGTACAGAATGGGAACAGGTGTCACCTACCACCCAAGGTTGTCAGAAGTCTGGACAAGCTAAGATTTGCAAAGGACTTTTTACATGAAAAAAGTGTTCTATAAATTATCAAGGACAGCAATAAGAAAAGGGTCGAATTTGGCCTGTGTATGTGTAGCAAAGGACTGGGTTGCTGTTCCTTCTCCCCAGACCACCTCTGTTGAGAACATGGCTTCCAAGTCACCCTAACCAGGACAGAGAGCGGTGAGGTCACAGTTGTGATTGCTGGATCTTCGTGTATAGGGAGGGTTAACGCCAGAGGCAATATCCAGGGGTTCCGTAGTATCTCCTCCTCTCGTGCCTTTTTCCTGTATGGCTCTTGCAGACAGATGCTCTGTTGTTCAGCCCTATACTCAGGACTCCGGTTTTGTTAGAAAAAAATAACCAAGGTGGGGGGGTGGGATAAGAAAACAAAAGACCATAGCACCACTGTGGTTTCTTCGATATTCTTTTACCCGTAGGTGATGCAATCCTTTTGTGTTCCAAAACTGTTTATATGTTGGCCAACTTGGGGGCAGGACAAGGATCCCCAAATGCTGAAAATTGGAGGGAAAGAAAGATCAGGAAGCTGGATAGGAGCAGTAAAAGAAGGTTCCAGCAGAGGGGTGTTGTCCTGGATCCGTGCTCAGTTTTTTTTTCTGTGTCAGGTGGTTGGTTCACAAAATGCAGCTGTTGACCAGGCATGGTCTCTCCAACTGTTGCTCCTTTGGATTGTTTCTCTGCATTCCCAAGTGGCTTGCCCTCTGACCAAAAATGGATGCAAGTGCTGTCAAATCACAGTTGTGATTATGGCGACCCCGGCCATTTTGAAGGCAGAGGAGAGGCAGAGGTGGTTGGCCATGGCCTTCCTCTGCAGAGCCTTCCTGGACTGACACCGCTTAGCTTCCGAGGTCTGGTGAGACTGAGCTGTACCCTGCCACTTCCTCTCCCTGCCCTGACCAACAGCTGGACCCAAAAAAGCACTATAGGGATTGAGGTTCCATATCTTGAGTTCAAGACTCAGTTTTCCGATTTTCTGTTTAAATTACCATAAAGGTTTCTCTCTTGCTTGCTTCCATTCTGCTTGGAGCATTTTTACATTTCCCCCCGGTAACAGCAGCTTCTTCCTGTATGGTATATCTCTTTCTATATATTATCTCTAAATATATATAAGCCAAACTGCCTTACAGGTTGATTGTGGGGGGGGGAACTCTGTAAGTCTTTTTGTGTTTTCCAGTGTTGTATGTGTAGCAGGCACTTGAGTTTGTATGAATATGTTGGCTTGAGGTCAAGGGGAGAGGTAGGGAAGGGAGAGGACAGAGCAACGATTTATGGGAAAGGGTCGATGCTAGCCAAGGATGTCCAGGTAGATTGGTGTGGCTTTGCCCAGCGCATGAAGGATTTTGTAGATTTCCTTGATGTTCAGCCGTTGCTGAGGTTCCCTCTGCCAGCATCCCAACATGATGTCGTACACTTCCTTGGGGCAGACGCGAGGCCTCTCCAAGACTCGGCCTTGAGTGATGCACTCAATCACCTGAAAGACACAACAGAAGAAGTAAATCTCATGCACACCCCAAAACACCTTTTTTACATTTACTCATCTGGATGTTTAATCTGCCATGTTATTTCTGTACCTTCCTTGGCTCTAGTCCAAATGTGATCCACAAGCAGATTTTTTTTTTAAAAAAACAAACACCTGGCATTGTGCTGGAGCCAGTGTGCCCCTTCAACTAAAGTTAGTGGTCTTCTATTAGAGGCAGACTTCTTCTGATGACACCCAGCTAAAGGAGTCTTCTTCCTATCTAGGGTTCCTTGTTTAACGGAACCACTGGATTCAATAACACAAAGAATACTTACTCTTTTATCCACATCTAATAGAAGGTTTGGGTGAGGGTAAAGACTTAGAAAGTTGTGACTCTGCTTAGTGTTGCATTGTAATTCTTTCCCACTACCTAACATCCCATATGTCACTGAGCCCACTCATTACTGTAACCAGAGCAACAGGTGGGGACAAGGTTTCACTGGGAACTGGCCCTTTCACACTGGAGCCTAGGTTTTGCCCCTGCCAAAGTGTTTCACCCAAGCAGAGGGAATGGTAATGAATGACAGCTATTTGCTTATTCCATACCACACTGAATTCTCTTTGGTGTAAAAAGGCAGCACACAAATCTTTTAAAACAAATAAGTATATATGGGGAAAAGTAAAGACTTAATATTCACGGAGTACCATTGCAGGTGGTGTCAGAACCTGCCAACTCCCAGGAGTTAAATTGAATAGGACACCTTTGTAGATGGAGATCATCACTGTGGGCCTCAGGGTCTCCTGGAGGGGTCCCAGGAATCTTTGGAATCTGCTCCACCTTTGGTACCTGTGTAGTCTAGGGACCCATTGCCTCCTGCCTGATTTTACCCTTTAGTTTATATCACACATGCACACACAGAGAACATTTGAAGCCACATGAACACATGGATCTGCCTTATATTGACATTAGTCTATCAATGTCATTATTGTTTATTCAGATAGGCAGAAAATCTCCAGAGCTTCCTTTCCCATCGCTTTCACCCTGATCCTTTTAGCTGGAGATGGCAGGGACTGATCCTGGGACCTTCTGCATGCAAACCAGATGCTCTACCATTGAGCAATGGCTCCATTTCACCATCTGTACTTCAAGAACAGAGCCTGAGTGGAAACTCCCATCAGAAAGTGGAGCACTTGCTCACATGCAACTTCTCTTCCAGTCTAACAAATCCTGAGAAAGAATCCCAAGGGATTTTTTTAAAAGATCAGCTGATGCCTGGAAGCTGATGGCACAATACATCTTTCTGACCACCCCCCTTGTCTCCTGTCTCTGGTTATCAAGCTGGCCAGTTCCCCCTCCGCTTTCAGCACCTACTTCACGGACAGCTCCCCAGTATTATAGATTGGGCACCTGAACCCTACAGCTCCAGTATTGGTAGGAAAGAGACAGCACAGGACTCAGCCTACTCTTTGCCACTAGTACTTCTAGTGACTGGCTTGTACCCTCTCAATTGTATCCCAGGTTGTAATGCTGACTTTGTTCCATAGAATTTAATGGGGACTGCTGATCACCAAGCCAGCTTCTGTCTTCAGAACCATGTCCCAGTTTCTGTTCCTTAGCAGAATATTTCTGTTCCTTAGCAGCAGAATGGCCAATGCTATTCTGGGGATTATTAAGAAGGGAATTGAAAACAAATCAGCCAGTATCATAATGCCCCTGTATAAATCGATGGTGCAACCTCATTTGGAGTACTGTGTACAGTTCTGGTCACTACACCTCAAAAAGGATATTATAGCAATGGAAAAAGTGCAGAAAAGGGCAACTAGAATGATAAAAGGGTTGGAACACTTTCTCTATGAAGAAAGGTTAAAGCACTTGGGGCTCTTTAGCTTGGAGAAATGGCAGCTGAGGGGTGACATGATTGAGGTTTATAAGATTATGCATGGGATACAGCAGGTAGAGAAAGAAGTACTTTTCTCTCTTTCTCACAATACAAGAACTTGTGGGCACTCCATGAAATTGCTGAGCGGTCGGGTTAGAACAGATAAAAGGAAGTACTTCTTCACCCAAAAAGTGATTAACACATGGAATTCACTGCCACGGGAGGTGGCGGCGGCTACAAGCACGGACAGCTTCAAGAGGGAATTAGATAAGCATATGGAGCAGAGGTCCATCGGTGGCTATTAGCCACAAGGTATAGATAGGGACTCCGGGGCAAGCGATGCTCTGTCTTCTTGGTGCTCGGGGGGGGGCAACAGTGGGAGGGCTTCTAATGTCCTGGCCCCACTGGTGGACCTCCTGATGGCACCTGGTATTTTTGGCCACTGTGTGACAGAGTGTTGGACTAGATGGGCCATTGGCCTGATCCAACATTGGCTTCTCTTATGTTCTTATTTGATAGGGCAGCTGGAACTGATTTGTGTTGTGCCCATCCTAATACGTTTTAACAGTTGTAACTGTGGGCTATGCTTAGTCCATGGGACATAACACCATGAAATGGAACATGCTTGTTTGACTTTTTTTTATAGGAGGGGGGAAACTTCATCAGGCAACAGTGGTGCCAGGGCACTGGCCTCCCTCAGCTTCTCCATTGCAAGGTTAATTGTCCTCTTTCTTCTGAACTGGAAGGAGCAAAAAGAACAACACTTTCCCTTGAATCAAACTCAATTTGTGAAGAAAACACCCCCCCCCTCAAATTCTATAGCTGTCAACACCTCACTTGATGCCAGGCTGTTGAAACTAACAAGAAACACAGAATGGCAAGAAGCTGTGCTTTCAGAGCCAATCCAGGGGAAAATCACCCTCTCTGTCCCCCAGGGGTAGAATGGTTTGAATCCCAGTCTGTAGCAGGATAAGGATGGGAAAGCGGAAGTGGGGGGGGGGGAGGCTGTTTGTCAGATGGCTGTTATTAATGCTCAACTTCCCTTGTCTGGAGCTGACAATCAGTACTGCAGCAGGGTCCCGATGACCTGACACGAACTGCCGATAAATACAGATCTCAAACAGCATGCAGAAGGAAGCAATACACAGCAAGGGGGCCCAGAATCTATCACTTCTGAACAGTAATGGATGCTGCTGCGCATCCAAAGAGATCATTATTACTCTGACATTTGTATGTAAATAGTAGAGGGTGGAACGATTAAGAAAAGCTACCGGAGGGAAGGAGGGATAAGGACAGGGCAAGCAAGCAAAATACCACAAAGAGTGAGGGGAATACATGAAGCCTGGGATGCATGAAACTTTGGCCAGTTCCAGGTCTGCCACCGGAAGGCACTTTGTGGTCAGTTCCTTGCTACATCCTACCGGGTTCAGAGGTCGGTTCACCACTGAAATTTCACCTACAGTGAAATTCAAAGTGAATTTGGAGAAGCCAAATTGAACCGCCTCCACATTTGAAAGTCTGAAGGTTCACATCTGAAGAATTCTGAGAGATACCCAAAGAGTTTCCAGAAGTATAGCATTTCTCTGGAGGGCTCTGTAGAGTGTGAGGTTGTCAAACTGCATCTGAAACATCGTTTCAACAGTTTATGGAGGTACTGCTCAGGACATACCTGGGGCATTTCAAAGCACATTAAAAAATTTCAGTGAGGCCAGTAAAACTTCTCATGGTTGGATTTCTTAAAAATAACCATTTAGAGCAGGTGGGCAGCCATGTTGGCCTGAAGCAGAACAGCAAGATGTGAGTTCAGAAGCACCTTCAGAGAGCAACAAGAAGAAGAAGAAGAGGAGATTGGATTTATACCCCGCCCTTCACTGCCCAAAGGTGTCTCAGAGCGGCTTACAAACTCCTTTCCCTTCCCCTCCCCACAATAGACACCCTGGGAGGTAGGTGGGGCTGAGAGAGCTCTTGACAGAAACTGCTCTTTTTCAAGGACAGCTCTTATCAGAGCTACGGCTTGCCCAAGGTCATCCAGCCAGGTGCAAGTGGAGGAGTGGGGAATCAAGCCCGGTTCTCCCAGCTTAGAGTCCGCGCACTTAACCACTACACCAAACTGGCTCTCTCGCGTAAGATTCCTCACGTAAAAACAAGATTCCTCACGTAAAAACTTCCAAGAGTCAAAGCGCTCTTTGTCATACAGGGGTCAGGAAAATTAATATTAAATTGGTCGGTTGTTATTGTTGCCTTAAAATTCACAAAGACCAAAGATTTTGGCATCGCTCCAAAGTAGCCATGAGCATGGCATAGTGGTCAGAATGCTGAATATGAATCTGGGAAACCCAGAATAGTTTTGAGTTACGTTTCCAGCCAGACTAACTTGTAAGCCTCACATAAAGTGCTTCTCTGGATCCCCGCGAGGGGCGTGGCCTCAATGACTTACACCAAAGGCCTTTCTTGGGGTCTTCCCCCAGCCGTGACGTTCTAAAGAATTCAGGGCGCTTGAGTTTTCAAAAGAGGGGGTGGCACTTTCTGCCCATTTGCCCTTCCTTCCGTGAGGGTGGGGCTAGTGGACCCACCGGAATAGAATTGGGCGCAAAGCAGAGAGTCTACAGTGGGAGGGGAGACATCAACAAAAGTGGCCACCTCCCCTTCAAGAAGAGTCAAGAGCCCAGAAATCTTTGGGTTGTGGGGTGAGGTCCAGGCTGCTGCCTTTGGAGGTGGAACAGGAGGACTGCTAAGAGTCAGAACCTTTTCCATAATGGAAGAAGAAGAAGAAGAAGAGAAGAGATTGGATTTATACCCCGCCCTTCACTTGGAGTCTCAGAGCGGCTTACAAACTCCTTTTCCCTTCCCCTCCCCACAACAGACACCCTGTGCGGTGGGTGGGGCTGAGAGGACTCTGACACAAACTGCTCTTTTTCAAGGACAGCTGTGCCAGAGCTTGCGACTGACCCAAGGTTACAGCAGCAGGTGCAAGTGGAGGAGTGGGGAATCAAACCCGGTTCTCCCAGATTAGAGTCCATGCACTTAACCACTACACCAAACTGGCACTTAACCACTAGACCAAACAGGACCACCAGAGGGGTCCATCTGGCACCTTCATTCTTAGGCCCAATCTGCATCTAGCATTTGCTCTGCTGTTATACCAAACCCACACTGGAACAGAAATTCCCGTCTACATTGCATGGCACTTTCACTTTGTTTGATCTCTGGTTTTATGGTGGCTGTCTGCATAGATTTATGGCTGTTTTATGGCCATGGGGGGGTGACTCTGCAGTCAGTAGGGTGTTGGCCTGGGGTAGTTGAACGTGGTTTTGAACGGCATCTTTCTCTGTTCCAGTGTGGGTTTGGTAAAACAACTGAGCAAATGCTAAATGCAGATTGGGCCTTAGTGTTCAGGCATTGAGGAGTTTCTCATGCTTTTGGCTGGTACTGCTCTACTCAATACCTATCTGAGGGCTCTTTCCTTGTCTTGATAATCCTCATGGCCACCTTGACTAGGTTTATGCTGCATTTAGGACTACAGTTTTTTTAAAAATCCTAAATTGTTTTTGAGCAACTTGTTTCTGGAGAAGCATAATATAAACATTTTACTACCCCCCCAAAAAATAAGTCTGCTGTGTTAAACGGCAGAGCCAGGCCTTGCTGAGCACACAGATCGGATACAGAAAGCAAGATCTGGCATTTCTCTCTGCCTGCAGTTCACTAAATTAAGGGCTCTGTGTCCAGAAAGCAGAAAATTCACATTTCTCATTAAACAGAGGCAAAGATTCTGAAGTGCTATTAGACATACGGGAGGATAAATGCGAGCAAACTTCTCCATATGCAGCTTGATCGATGCATCTTTCTCCAGACCTGCCCTCCTCCCTACTAAGCCTTGCAGGATGTTTACATCACAGCAGGACTCGGCTTGCCGACCAGTCCTTCAAGCAGCCTTCCCAGTCCTTCTGAGCAGCAGCGTTTCTTTAACAAGGAAGCCCTGGGGCAGCCTCCCCCACCTTTGAAGGTTTTAGCTTCCCTTCCCCCTCGTCTAAGGGGGATGCTCCACACTGCATTTGTGCATGAGAGTTTGATTTGTTTCTTTCATTTTTGTTAGCAATTCCAAAAGGGACTGATTAGTTATTGGGTTGTCTTATATGTCTTATTTATTAACTTATTTCAATTCATATCCCACCCTCCCTGCAAGCAGGCTCAGGGGTGGTCACAACAGTAATATCACAAAACTATTAAAACAGCTCTACTAGTAAATAATTAAAACAATTAAAAGCAGGTAGCACAATAAATTAGGAAAGTACAGCAGTCCCAAATGGCTGGAGGCTACTAGGCCATAAACCAAAGGACAGCGGAGATCTTATTAATATGGGCCGTATGCAGATGGAGAACTTCAGCAGGGGAGGCCTAACAGTTGGCCGTTCACCACCTCAACTATTGTTTCTTTCATGGTGGTTGTTCTGTTTTCATAATTCTATTTATTCCCCCCCCATTCTTTCAATGGAAGCCCTCCCCTTCCAATTTTCTTGGGTCTGTATCTTCATGGCTTTCCACTTGCTGAAGAAACCCCATAGAACTGTAGCATTCCCCCGGGACACACACATTTCCAGATTTCAGAGAGATAAAATAAGAGGCTCCCTTTTCCTGAATCAACGCTTTCATTTAAAACCCATGTCGAACATTAAAGTCTATGGGAGACTTTATGCTGCTTATAATCCACCTTTCTCACTGAGAAAAGGCGGGTGACATAACATAAGCCAGTGCAATCCACAGGATGAGGAGAACCTAATGAGCAATGTAATAGGACTTGGACTGCAGAAATCTAAAACAAGGCATAAGTATGAAACATGACATGTTAAACAATGCGAGAAATGGTATTATGTAAGCAGAAATATAATACAGTAAGAGGAAGATAAAAACATACAGCAAAAGATAATACATATCACTGAGAGTAGGAGGGCACAGGTGATGTGGTTACTATCAGATATAAATAATTTTGTTCTCTCCGTGGCAAAATTTATGGGGGCAATGATTAAACAGCAGAAGAATAACACTAAGTAAGGCATTATCTTATTTTATAATTTTATTTTCTGCTCAAGGCTATCGCTATATGAGCAGTACTAGATAGACATATAGATATTGAATGGAAGAGAAGGCCTTGGCACTGTCTCTCAGCCTCAGACTCCACAGAGGGGGTCTTACAAGAGAGTCAGTGAGGCAGACAGGAAAACTGTGGAGGCAAGAGGCTAAGAGACAGCGCCAAGGCCGTCTCTTCTGCTGTGTTATTAGCTGCAGTGCTCTCTGCTACTTTGAGACAGATTCCTGGATTACCATACCAGAGAATCTGACATGTTATGGGCCCAGCACATATTACTAGTATAGTACAGTATAGTATGTTCCTGTTCTCTCTACTGAAACAATTTGCTGAATCATTGTGTTATAATGCAGCCCTATTTCCTTTATAAAAAAATGCCCTCCAGAACAATTCTTGTTTTACACAACTTGCAAAATGCCAAAAGTGTGGGAACTTTCCTGACCTCCTCAGGCTATAGGGTGGGTGCCATTAAAGAGAATGCATGTGTATGGGTTGTTGATCTTGCCCATTTGCAGGGTGGCACTTAAACCTGGGACCTTCTGTATGCCAAGCAGATATTCTTCCAGTGAACAAATGAACAGGTTAAGCTACCAGATGCTGAGTCAGACGCTTGGTCTGTCAAGGTCAGTCTTACCTACTCTGACTGGTGGTGGCTCTTTGGGGTCTCTGGTGGAGTTCTTTTACATTATCTACGGCCTGATCCTTCTAATTGGGGAGGTCGGCGATTGAACCAGGGACAATCTGCATGCAAAGTGGATGGTCTACCACTGAGCCACAGCCCTTCCCCTCTACCTGCACTTTTTGGTCTCTACTATATACATTTGTGACCGGGTGGTGCAGCTCTCCCTCCCTGTTTCAATCTACCCAAACCCTTTCAGTTACAGGTCTTCCCTTTGTCATGCTGGTGTATTATTTCTCCTCCCTCGGTTAACCCTGATATATCCCATACCTCTGTGTTTGAGAGCTGGAACCAGGGCTGTTTCCCATATGTGAAGATCTCCCAGAGAATCACCCCGAAACTCCAGACATCACTCTCTGTTGTGAATTTCCGATACATGATGCTCTCGGGAGGCATCCAGCGGATTGGAAGCATGGTGTGTCCTCCAACCTGCATGAAGAGAATAAATAAGGCACAGCCTTTATTTGCACTGTAACAGGATCGGCCCGGATTCAAGGGGGTAGAAAAGAGACAAGTCGGGTTCAGATCAGTGAGTGCCAGAGTGGCATTCAGGTTAAGGTGCTGGACTAGAACTGGGGAAACCCAAGTCCAAATTCCCCTCCATCACGAACCTCACTGAGAGTGTGGCCTTGCTACTCGTTCTCTCTTAACATAACCTTGGAGATTTATTGTAAGGACAAAATGGAGTAAAAGAGAACTTGAGCTCTTTGGAGTACAGACAGAATGAAAAATATACTCAATACTTCACAGTGTCCGATCCCTCACAGCTATAAGTCCAATACACGTTTAAGCAAAGTAGTATTTTATTAAAGCCATGTTAGAGCAGGAACAAGTTCACTGTTAAGAATACCTGGGACGGGCTGAGCAGGGGATAATGAAAGACATTCAAACAGACAATAACCAATAGACTTGGTTCCCGCCGCGTGGGCAGACTTTTGTATTCGCGCTCAAAAGCCTGAGAAGCAACGTTTCTATAAAGATAAACAATTGAAGCTTCACACGGTCCAGCTCATTATAGTCTAATCTATGTGGCTCCTTCCCCACACCTGTTAATCTTGCAGATAAGCGTACACTAGTGTTCATAGAATGGAATGCATGAGACAGGGATACACACAGAACCCACAGGAGGCATGCGCAGATGCCAGAGGAGAGGGGGGGGGGTTTCTATCCACAGACTTCAATGGCAGCTAGCTGACACACAGTAATATACCCCATCTAAACCATGGATTCAATGGGTGGCCTTCAGGTAAATCCAGCACAGATGTTCAAGATGGATTAAGCAAAGGAAGATGGGCTGCTTCTGACCAGGAATGGGATGGAATGGGCCACATAATTAATGCTTCCCCCAAACAAAACAGCTCTACAACTGTCCCTTCTTCCTAGAATTATAGAGTCGGAAGGGACCACCAGGGTCATCTAGTCCAACCCCCTGCACAATACAGGAAATTCACAATTACCCCCCCCCCACCCCCAGTGACTGCTGTTCCATGCCCAGAAGATGACAAAAAACCTCCAGGATTTCCAGCCAAACTGGCCTGGAGAAAAATTGCTTCCTGACCTCATAAATCTGGTGTAGTGGTTAAGTGTGTGGACTCTAATCTGAGAGAATTGGGTTTGATTCCCCACTCCTCCACTTGCAGCTGCTGGATGACCTTGGGCAAGCCATAGTTCTGTCAGAGCTGTTCTCTCAAGGACAGTTCTGGAAAGAGCTCTCTCAGTCCCACACAGGGTGTCTGTTGTGGGGAGGGGAAAGGAAAGGAGTTTGTAAGCTCCTCTGAGACTCCGAGTGAAGGGCGAGGTATAAATCCAATCATCTCCTCCTCCTCCTCTTCTTCTTCTTCCAAAGTGGCTATCAGCATTTCCCTGGGCATGACCTGCTAGCTTTCCAGAGGCAAAGAGTTTTGAGGTGGAGGAGCATTCAGTCAAATGGTCTCCCCTTCTCTATTTTATCTTTGTAACAGCCACCCCACGGGATAGGTTCGCTTGAGAGAAAGTGGTCCATGGTCCTGTCACCCAGTAAGCTTTCATGGCAGAGTGGGGATTTCATTGAGCTGAATGCTATACTTTGTAAAAACAAGTACTTTCCTCCTTATCATGGTAATCTATATACTTCCTTGGCTTGCTGAATTTTTAAAACACCTATCAAACAGCATCCATCCACTTGGAGCTGGAGCTTACGCAGAACAACAACTTGCAGCTGCGGTCCTTGGAAGAGGAGTCAGAAGTGTGACTAGGTAAAGGTGGGTTGTGCTTCAGAACACCGGAAGCAACGATGTTTACGCAGCTCTTGAAACATCTGCAAAGAAGTTCTATTCCTCCAGGGGGGGGTTGCATGAGAGGAAGAACATTTATGCCATCAGCTTCCTCCCTTTTGGAGGTTATTTCTTTGAGCCAGGTGGATGCATTAGAACACAACATGGGAAAGTTCCAGGAAGGAACCTGCGTAACTGCTGGGAGATAAAAGAGGCAGGATCTAAGAGAGCATGAGCTAGTAAAAGATATTTTCCCCAATGTTCAGGGTGTACGCCAGGGTTGCCAACTCCAGCTTGGGAAATTTCTAGAACGTTGAGAGTGGCATCTGGGAAAGGTGGGGTTTAGAGAGGGGGGTTTAGAGAGGAGAGTTCAAGACCGGGTGTGCCGCATGACGGAGTGAGCTCCCGTCTCTAGTTCCAGCTCCTGCCAACCTAGCAGTTCGAAAGCAAGAAATTGCAAGTAGATAAATAGGTACCACTTCAGTGGGAAGGTAACAGCGTTCCGTGCGCCTTGGGGTTTAGTCATGCCGGCCACATGACCACGGAAACGTCTTCGGACAGCGCTGGCTCTTCGGCTTTGAAACGGAGATGAGCACCGCAACCCTAGAGTCGGACTCGACTGGCTAGAGATCAGCTGTAATCTTGGGGAAACTCCCTGCCCTACCTGGTATGTGCCCCACATCAAGACAAAACTGCACATGGAAGACTCTCCTTGGAGTTGTACGCAAGATCATATCAAGTTTGCTTTCTCGTAGTGTTTTATGAAGGCATATGTACATTGTCACCTAGTTTGGGGGGGGGGAGATGCAAATGGATGGAAAGTTGTGTTCAACTACACATAATCTAGTTGGAGTATTAACTTGAGAACCCCCTTGTTGAACTAGAATGGAAAAAGAATGGCACGTAGCAAAGAGAGGAAGGAAAGGAACAGATCTGCAGGAATCCACTGGACCCTAATGAATAGGGATAAATTAAAAGAGAAGACATTTAACTCTCTGCAGCTTCTAGCTGTGCTGTTCTGCATATTCTTTTAGAAATGGCACAGAATGAGTTTAATTGCTGGTTTATTTATAGTTTCATGGATTGTTTCAGTTACTTTGCTAAACTGCCTCAAATTTCAGACAGGCAATATAAAAATATTTAGATAAATCAGTGGGATACGCTAACAATAGCCTCACTGTATTTGTGCTAGAAATTTGGATTCCATATAAAGCCAAGCCAGCAACAAACACATCTTTCTTCACCTCTGTAGAGAGAGATGTAGTCTTCATAATCCTCATCAGCTAGGAACTTAGAAACTTTAGTTTATGGAGAAAATATCTAGAGACAGAGAGTCGACAGGTACATGGATTTACTTGCTAATAACAGTGAAAATCTATGGGGAAATTATAAGGTGTCACAAGAATTTTTCTTCAAAATGTTCAAATCGTAAACTTAGGGGTTTTTTTCTTCTAATGCACAGAAGAGAAAGTATAATTTATTAAACCAGCCTACCAAAGTTGTTGTGTGATTTTTAAAGAAATGATAAATTCATCAAAGAAAAAGTTTGTGAAGAGTTCTACATTCCCTCTTTGCTTCAGTTCAAGGGAGAATTCCTTTGAAAATGCTATTTAGCTGAATGCACACTCTGCAATGGAGAAAGGTGCCTTTCTCAAAACAACATGAAGGATTTTGTAAACATTTGATGGGCACATAGCACAAGTGTGACTGAGCCTCCGCGTATATGCATAAAGGCTCAAAGATTCTGGCAAATGATACCTAAGTTAATGCGTGAAATGTGGGAATTTTTTATTGTTTTTTTCACAAAACTACAAACTATAACTGAAAATATGGGAAGGGAAACTAAATCTAAGGAGAAAGAAAAGAAACCCACTAATAACTAAAACCCCAAGAGTGGGAGATCAATACATCAGCTTGTCTCAATGTTAATCTAAAATGCTAGTAATACATTGAACATAGTCGGTTATGCTAAGTTATTTATCTTTTAACCATCCATTTATCTGTTAAATGAAACCCTCAGAGCATCCCAAAGATATTACTAAATTTTCAGGCACAATTCAGAGTGCTTCGGCCTTTATTTTCTCATATCTTTTCTTATCCTCAATTTATATGGACTTTTTGGGGCTGCCGCCCCCTTTTCAGAGAAAGAGTCCTCGTCAGAAGACACCAAGCCTAACTTGCCATCCGATTTGCTTTCTTCTTCTTCTTCCTTCTTGTCCTCCGCTGGTTCCCCCAGCTGTGTTCTCAGAAACTCACGTGCTTTAGGAACAGAGTCAATCTTTTCTTTTTTATTGTGGAACTTGAAAATGACGCCTTCCGGAATTAACCATCTATAACTGATGCCATTTGTTTGTAAAAAAAGGATTAAGTCTTTATATTTCTTTCTCTTCTGTCTTATTTCAAATGGAATGTTTTTTAAAATCCTGCAATTATTCTCCCCGAATTTCAAGGGTGTTCCCATAGTTGCTTTCAAAATAGAATCACATGTCTCTTTGAGATTCTGACTACTATTTCCCCAGGCAGATTATTTTTCTTGATGTATAAGGAATAGGACCTGTAGACCATATCCATCTCTCTGTAAAGATATTCCGCTGTCAAATCTGTCATTGGGGCTATTGCATCTCTCAACAGTTGCTTCAGATTCTCTCCTTTAGATTCCGGGACCCCTTGAAACCGTAGGACCAAATTTACTTTCTCTATTTGCAGCTGTAAAAGTTGTGACTCTTCTGTAGCTTGTTTCATTTCCAGCTTTTGCACCTTTTTCTTGACTTTTTTAGTATTGGCGTCCATTTCCTTCACCTTCTCTGCCATTCGCTTCGTTGCATTTAAAGATTTAGTCAGTTGTAGCTGCTGTGAAGCCAAACTCTGACCAATTGTTGACAATTGTTGCTTGATATTAGTCATTTCATCCAGCAGAGGGCGCAAGGAATCTGCCAACATTTTAGAAAGCTCAGTGGTCTCTTCCGTTCGAGGACTGCCCCCTACTTTCACTTTCAACAGTTTGTCTTTATCTGGTTTCTTCCCCGCCATCTTTTTGGATTATTTACTTTTCTGAAAGTTGCTAAAGTCTCTGATATCCGCCCATACGCTTATCTGCACTCTGGTAAGTCTCTTAAAACAGATTTAGACGCTTATTTTTCTGCTCCCCCCTCTTTATTTCCGTGTTTACGTTTATGC